TAAATAGTCACCAGTAATTAACTAATTAATTAGACACAAGCACAGGCTGGAATCATACAATTTGAAACAGAAAGCCATAGAGTTTACATGGGCAGGAATGGAATGATCTCAATGACACTTTTTGCACAAGATGTAGTGTATAGTATGTCCTCATTTTTAATTTTTTCTCTTTGAAAAGAGCAAACTATTTCTGGAAATATGCATTAAAAACTAGTGGGCCCTGGCGGGGTTTAGCGCAGCGGTTAGAGCGTTGGTCTGCAGGTTCGATTCCAGCCAAGGGAACATATCTCGGTTGAGGTTTTTCCCCAACCCTGATCAGGGTCCTGAGGGAGGCAACCAGTCTATGTGTCTCTCTCACATCGATGTTTCTCTCTCTCCCCACCGCCTCCCTCTCCCTCTCTCTCTCTCTCTCTCTCTCTGTCTGAAAATAAATGAAAAAATATCTTCAGGTGAGGATTAAAAAAAACAAAAAGAAAAAACTACTGGGACTGTCTTTGATGAAGATGACTAGAGATCTAGCATGGGAAGGAGATCAAGTTTCTGTTGTATGCCCTTTCTTGGTGTTTGAATTTTTAAAAACCATTTCAATGTACTACCTTTTCGATTTTAAAAATAAAGAACAGAAAATAAACCAAATTTGTTAGTTAATGATACACTATTTTTTGACATCTCTTAAACTATAAACCTGAAGTGATATTTAACTCTTTCCTTATTAGTTTATATCCTACTAATTTCTCTTGTATCTTCTATGCCCTGCTAACATTGAAACCTAGTCCTTTCATGAAATGCTTTTTAAAAGTGCAGAATTAAATTATATCAAAAGGTGAAATCTCTGTTTCAATCAGGACAACTAAGTATGTTGAATTTGCTACCCTTTTTAACACAGTAAAAGTGAATTGTTTTAGTAATTGCTTTTAATTCCTGCAAAGGAAGTAGAAATTTTCTTGACCTTGCAAGCTCAGTGTGAATTTAAATATGGTTGAAGAGCATTTACCTGGACCTGTTCCAGATTAACTACATTTCTTAATATAACTATACTATCTTAACATGAAAAGAGCATAATGATTTTTAAAAAAATCTTAATATGTTATTTTTCCTTCTGTTAAGTGAATGCTTCTCAAAAGGGTCCTGTGGGTATTTAGGGAGAGGGACTGGGGTGGGACTGTCCTGTTCACTTCAGAAAATTTAAGCATCCATAGCTCACAGGCACTAAATGCCAGTATCATATCCCCAGTTACTGCAATGATCAAACACCTGACCCCCACATACTTCCAAATGCCCTCGAAGAGAGAAATGCTGGGGGGAAAGTACTATGTCCAGTTGAGAAACACTGCTTATATGAACTAAGGTATAAAAAGTGTGTATGTGTACGACACACACACATATTTTCACAACTGCAATTCAACCTTTTAAAACAATGAAGATAAATGACCAGTAAAAGTCATAACTCATGTATTAATCAACCATTCAGCCCAGTATATAATACTATCAACAAACATCATGCCTCCCAAAAAATTCTTCAACTCTTACAATGGCTGAACTTTTAAAATAAGTATTCATTTTAAAATCATTTTAGGCCCTGGACGGTTTGGTTCAGTGGTTGGAGCAACGGCCTGTGGACCAGATTCCTGGGTTTGGTTCCCGCTATAGGCATGTACCAAAAAAAATCATTTTAGAACAATTCTGTTGGAATGCTTCTGTTTAAACGCCCCCCTCCAATAACCTTCCATCCATTGTACTGCACTCATCTCAGAAATAAAAGGTATAAATCAGTTTGCTATCATTATTTGTCTACCTTCCTCCTGAGAGTGTAGGATGAAGCCAGGGACACCACTGATCATGCCTGCCTGGCCCATAGTGCATGTATTCAATAACAAGGCTGAACGAGTGAGTGAATACTGGCCCAGTCTAATACAATAAATAGTTCAACAAGTTCCAACTATCATCGATTTTTATACATAGTAATAATCCTGGAATAAATATAAGAAATTATTTTAAGAAAACTAGTAAGTCAACTACATTACACAGATTAGAGCTACCTTGTAAAGATATAAGAAAATTTAAGATTTTTACTGCCACTTCCAACATGCTCATCCTCTATCATCTTTCCCTCCTCCCGATTAAGCTTTAAGCAAATGTTGATGTAAATAAGTGGGGCATGCTTTCAGGAAGCAACCCAATATAAAGAGCAAAACAATACTGATAACAGTAAGAAAAACTTACTGTCTTTTATTGCTATTTTATTTTTCAGATGTCAAGAAATCTGTTATTATCCTGCCTCATTCAAAAAGAAAATCAATAAACTGGAAAGTGTAACTTCTATTTTTGTAGGTTTCACTATATTCTCCAGAAACTCATCTTTTGCTAAGGTAAAAATTCAGAATATAAACTAATACATTTCAAAATAAATGTAACAAATGAGGATTACACAAGCACTAGCATCAACACTTACAGAATATTAACTCTGAAGCCCACTAACTCTGACATATGTGTATTCATTCATCTTTGCCTTCTTAAAGTATTGTGAATATCTCGGTTTTACAGAAAAGGATTAGATAGAAAAAAAATTAAATGATCATCTTAAGTTAGAAACAAAGACAATTTCTAGCTCCTAGTATTTCTAGCACTGCTTTTAGATTGCTTCAATAAATTCTATAATTGTTAACCACTGCTTTGCTCAACTCACATCAAAGGGTTAAGTAATAATGGCTAGGAAACAGTTTTAAAGAAACAAAACTTCAAGTTACTCTCACTTTACAAGATCACTAACACAAATAGGTTACTGGAAAAAAAAAAAAAAAAAAAAAGAACTATAGAAAATGTTCTAGAGGGGATCAAACATTAGATGCACTCTGCACCTATTCAAATAATGGAGATCGCTTTCAAATGCATTTAAATTATTGTGGGATTTTAGTGCATGAAATCTGTCATTATTTTTGAAATCACAAACCCAGCATTTGTTTTATTACTGTTTCATGTAGCACTTGTCAGTAAAAACAATTTGTGTTGTAAGACTTAATCACTTAAAACTAATACAGGAAATCATTTTCATACTGATAAAAAAAATGCTGTCTCATTCATTTAAAATATTTTTAAAGTGATAACTTCATGATATTGCACACCCTCAAAAAGTTCAACTTTCATGAGATTTCATTTTCCCAGAATTATTAATCCTGCTTATAAATATTGCTGGCCAACAGTATTTATAGTAATTAGTCTTAAACCCATCAGGACACTGTTATGGGGGGGGGGGGGTCTTTCAGCAAAGCAAGACTTTAAATTAAGTCTTTTCACTGATTAAAAAGCTGACCTAACTTATAAATTAAAGACTTCCTTTTATGGGCATCTTACTGAAGTATATTTTTATATCTCAAGTAAGTTCATTCTGAAAGACCAATTAAGAATGAGTGGATACTACCAGGGTAGTGAAATTGGCAGATCCCAACAATTCTTAAAACTAGGAACCAAGAATGACAGAATCTCTAATTCTGCCATAGGTATTCACCAGCCCTATGATACCTTAGGGAACTTTCACATTGCCCATACATCCTCCTAGACAAGTCATCACTTGATCTCACAGAGTTTTTTGTTTTTAAAGGTAATGAACAACACCCAAATAATTAGTGACAAAAATGTACATACAGCAATGGAGATTATTTTTGTATAGTATCAAGTACCCTTATCTTATAAATTATAAAGGAAAGATTTCAGAACTTGGAGACTAGGAATTGAGTGAAAATGCAGTCTACTCTGAAATGTTAAAGTGGTCCACTATTGTTCTATCTTAAATTCAGTATCTTTCCAAAACAACTTATCTGTGATACATTCACAAGCTAACTCTAAATGTGACTTGTATAAATCATGTCTTTTCCCTCCTCAAGAAGACAATCTAACCAAATCTTTACCACAGCCAGCAGTAGTAGCTCCTTGAAATTTCAGACATAACTGGAGGTTTTGTTATTAAGTCCAAACGTAGAACCCAACCTCCGATTTACATCAAAGTGCTATGAAGATTCCAAATCGTGGTTAGAAAGCAATTACTGGAAAGCAGTGTCCTTGTGCAAGGAAAGGAATGGAAGGTCTGAAACTGACCAGAGCACAGGTCCCTAAGAACCTCAGTCCTCTCGGTTTCACCAGGAGGCCACACTGAGGAGGCTCTAAGTAACAGGCGATGGAGAGATGGACGAGGAAAGGGCAGAGGCAACTGCACTCCTCGAAGGGTGCGAGCAAAAGAGAAGCGGACTCTAGAAAAGCCGCTCCACAGAGACATTCGAGCCGAGGATACACACACAGAGTCAGCTCCTCAGTACCGAAGAGAGCAGCCTTTGCCATGGAAGTGGTGCACCAAGCAAGCAAAGGCAGAAAGGGACAATCTCTGCGCCCCCCACCCCAACCTCTCGCCCAGGCTGAAGGGGTCGGCAGGGACTGCTTCTCCGAACATCAACAAAGGCCCCTTCAATCCCAGGGCGAAACTCGAACAACAAAGGCCCGCAGACAGCGAGGACGGGGCCGGGGGCGGGACGGATGAAAGCAAGGGAGGCAAAGGAATCAGACCAGAGGGGGCGGAGGCCCGTCGGAGTGGGAAACAGAAGCGCAGAGGCGGGGGGCGCGGTAATCCCCAGTGCACAATAAGAAGAGGAGGAAGAAGGGGACCTGGCCTCCAATCCCCCCTTACCCTCTCCCTGCGGCAGAAAGGGCTCCCACTCTCGCCGTCGGCATCTCCTCAGCCTCTGGGACCGCGCAGCCCGAGTTCGGGGAAGGAAAGGGGAGGGGGATTTTCCGCCCAGACCACAACTCCCTTCCCCCAGCCGGGGGCCGCCGACAACAGCCGCCACAACGGCAGCCGCACAAAGGCGCTTCCTCGTACTCCCCGCTCCCGCCGGGCGGCGGCTCCAACGGCGCCAAGGCAGGGACCACCACCGCTCGGCCACCAGGCGCTCGCTCGCCCTCTTCCCCTTCTAACTGGGGGAAAGGGGGAGGGGACCCCCAGGCGCCCTCACCTGGCACAGCTGCTGACAGTATTCCGTGGCCGCTTCCACGGCCGGCACCCGGCTCTCCCGCAGTTGTCGCTCCAGCTCCTGGAGCCGCTCGCCCAGGCGCTGCAGCTCCGCGACGCAACCGCCTCCGCCGCGACTCAACCTCTCCTGCTCGGCCTCTTCGTCCGCCATCTTCACACCCCGCTCCGTCGCGTACGCACCTGGGTCACGTGATAACACAATGCCACGTTCGGAGGGGTCACGTGCCGAGCGCGCTCGCACGCCGCCGAGCACGTACAAAGGGCCCGGTGGGGAGGATGGCGGGGCGGGGAGGAAGGCGCGAGGGAGCTGGGGGGAGGGGAAGGGAAGGGGAAAGGAGGAGGGCGGGGTTGGGGCGGTGCGGAAAACCGCGGTCTACTTTCCCCTGGCGGGAAGTGGGCAGCAGCGGCCGAAAGGGGCGGGCCGGTTCAGGCCTGTTCTCGGTCACGTGGGCGCCCCGACCGAAGGAAAATCCTGGGGAGGGGCTGCCCTCCAGAGCGTCCCTATCCCGGCTTGGCTTTTCCCGGAGTCTTCTACGGACGTACACCCCAGTTCCCCAAGAGGACGGGTGTGGAAGAGCTCCGGGTGGGCTGGGGCAATGGCTGCATTGGCGGTTTGCCTATAGGCAGGCCAGAGGCAGGGAAAGAGAGGAGATAAGACCTACCCGTGGACCACAAGCGTGAGAGCCAAAGCGTGACTATGAACTGTCAAAATTGTCTGACTTCTCACCAGGCTCGGGAGGAGGCGTCTAGTGCCCCAGGTACCAGCTCTCGCTCCACTCTCCTCTTCAGCCCCAAGAACACCTCTCCCCTGGAAACACAATCTCTAGAAGGTGGAGGCAACAAAGAAAGATAGCAATTGGACCAGAACGAACAGAATGGAGTTTAAATTCTCATCGGGAGAACGGAGCAAACTCGTAAAAAACATAGCTTGAAAGATTTCAGACTATAAAATTGTGTACACTACAACAAGATAATTTTTAAACCACCAAAGTATTTCTAGAATAAGTGATAGCCAACTAATGTTTCACTGTGATTTAAGATTCTTTCTCCTACACACTACACAGATCAACATCACTGAAAACACACTATATATGAAAGTACTTAAAAAGAAAGTGGGTCAAGAAAAAAATAGCAATAAGGACTCCATTAAAAATCACAATGGAGAAGGAGAAATTGATGCTAAACTAAAACAATATGTTTATCAAGAATTATAAATTCAACAGCATTTTTTTCCTGGTGCTGCAAATAGAGATAGCATTCTGAACCATATTTTATTTACAATCTGGAAAGAATGAATACTTGGAACTTGAACAAAACAGTAGAAGAGGTACTACATAAATTCAAGTGGCTAACCCTAAGTTCAGAATAAAAAATATTTTGTTAGTAGCACAAAATAAGAGGCTTATCTTTCTTGCAACTGAATGGTCTGCAGAAATTAAGAAACGAGTCTTTTCATTGTCATATTCCAAGTAGAGTATGTTTTTCTAGTACAAGCATTTTTAAAAATCCTATTGTGTGTAGCATCCTCTTTAAGCGATTTCTAGTATTATTATAAAGTGTTCTAGATAGTATGTTGTCCAGGATGAATGTTTTGTAATGCATCAGTGATGGTGATGTTTTTGAAGTGCCATTATATAATGTAAGTGGGCACAATTGAACTCTTTATGGAAAACAGTATCAGCTAAAATATTCGTATAATGTGTGCTGATACATATTAAGACAGGTTCTTCACATATGTACTCATGGAAGAAGCTGGGGAGTACATTCAAAGGCTAAGGCACAAGTATATAAAAGTATCACCGAGAATTGAAAAAGCAACAATTAAGGCAGCTAATGGATTTTACTATTTGCAGCTCACTTCCCCAAGTTAAATATTTTAAATATCCAAATCAGGTTTCTACAATTTATGTTATCTTAGGATACCAGTGAAAATATAAAAAGTAAGAAATATGGGATTAACCAAATGTACCAGTAAATCTGAGGACAGATAAGCTATCAAAGATTAGCAAAATACATTTTCACTTCAAGTATAATGACTTATACCACACCTAATTTATAGAAAGAGAAAAAAGAAATAAAAGTAATTCAAATATCAATTTTTAAAAATTGCCTGAGAATATAGGTCATTCCCACCTCCTGCCCATAGTATTTCTAAAACCAGGGAGTTTGGGTTAGCAAATTGATTCTGAATACTAGTACTGTCTTGCAAATATCACTCCGCAAGAACGACTAAGTCCTTCATTTTTATTTGGTGTCTTTAAGACCTGTCTTCCAGTTCCTTCTTTCCTCTGTTTCATAATGTAGAAATGTAAGGACTAAAAGTGAGTTGTGTAATTATTTAATTATTATTTGTTGAGTACTTATGTGCAGGCATTACTTGGTGGGAAAATCAAAGGTGAGCAAAAACTGTCTGTCTCTTCCTTAAGGAAATACACAGTTTTGTGGAATAGTGACCTGCAATGGCAATACATACAATATAAGTGTTGTATCATGAAAATGCATGTAGATTTAACCCAGAACATCAAAGTGGTCTGAGGTGCTAACTAGAACATTCACCGAATCTCTATAGAAGTGCAGGTTTTTAATTAAATAAGAAGGGTGGATATACTATCCCCTGACAAGTCGACCTAGTCTTGGAGATCTCAGAAATATTCTTATTCATAGAAAAAGTGTATCAACAAGTGCACGTGATTTATTGTACCTAAGCCCCAAGCTGTCACTTACTACTAATCATTATATATGTACTTACTGAGACGTTCCTGGGGGAATTCGGAGGCCCATTCCGTCGAGAAAACAAGAATAAACTCCAGGGCCAAGAGACTCCGCGTCTCTGGGGAACTCTGTGCGGCTAGTGCCGGTGCCCATTTTGGACAACGTACGATTGTTACAGACCTACTATAACAATATGGACCTTCACAGAGACTTGATTTCAGAGTAAATCTGGGAATGAAAAACAGACTTCTACTCCACCCCTGCGATCAGTAAAGCTGGGAAGACCCAGAGGGGACAAATGTGTCTGCTTGCAGGCCGCGCGTGCCTCCTTGCTTCACGATTTCCCTAGACTGCACAGACCGGTACCGCGCCGTTGCACACTTTCCCCTTAGAATTCTTGAAATAGCATGGCCTAGGGGCAGGAAGGTAGCTGGTTGGTGCCTGCTGATAGAGCCAGGGGATCGCACCAGTGATGCAGCCAGAGCGGCGTTTGCAGATGACTGATTGCTCAGGACTAAGGCCCTGCAGGTCCTTCCGACCCCGGGCCCAGAGAAACCCCGCAACCCGGCCGGGGGCCCGGTCCCTGCACGCGGGGAGACAGTGTGAGGCCAGGAGGTGGCGGAGCGCGCGCCGCCCTCGAGCTGCTGTTAATCTTTCCCCGGCTCTCTCCCTAGGTGGGCCCTGGCGACCGAGAAGGTCCGTAGGACTGTGGCCGGGCTAAAGGTTTCTCCGCTCTACTCCGCTAACCCTGTCTGCAGATTCCTACTTGCCCGAGGCCTGACTGGGCTCCCCGGGCCGCGGCCCGGCGCTCGCTCGCCCAGCAGCTGCATGGGTGCTCGAATTGTTGGTCTTCGGCCGCGGGCGTTGAGCAGCCTCAGCCCCCGCATTTGCAGCCGCGGCTTTTCCACCCAGAGCTGCCAATCAAACCCGCAGAACGGCTGTGGCTCCTGGCCCGGGTGCAGCGGCCCCCCAGGGGTCTCCAGGCCGAGAGATACCGGAGCCTCTCCAGGGCGCAGTGGGGCGCGGGGCCTCTGAAATCGACCCGGCGGGGATGCTCGAGCCTGTCCGGAGGAGGCCGGGTCGCAGGTACTGCTGCCTGGGCTCACAGATTCAATCTGCTCACTTCCAAAGGGCTGGGCGTCCGGCCCCAGACAGGCCGCCTCCTAGATCCCAGAAGTAAGGGCTGGAGTCTGTCTGGGGCTCGGTCCAGTAGAAAGTCCTCCCGGAGTCTGGGAAGCAGTGCTGTGCTCACAGACTAAAGGAGGGAGCACGGGTTAAAACTCTAGTGATACCGGCTTAAAAACATCACGCTTTCCCAATGAACGCATTCTCCTTGAGAGGAACAGTGAAGCGGAGTCAAATAAAATGTTGAGAACACGAGACAGGTGCTATGCTACAGACTTGAAATGATTCCAAAGGCACCGGAAGCATTGGACTCACGTTTAAGAGGATTAATTTTAGTCCTTAAATTCTTCGCAGAAAGATGATAGCATATACATTTAAATGAACAGATAATTGAATGAGGAGGGATATTTGTATTGCCTATTTGGATATTTTATTTTCTTTCCATATGAGGAAAAGCCAGTGCGAATGAGAAAGAGTAATAATATTTTTAAATTATTTTTTAATCATCAGGAAGGATATGTTTAGAGAGAGAGAGAGAGAGAGAGAGAGAGAGAGAGAGAGAGGACTTGCCTCCCAAACTTGCCCGGACCAGGGATCAAACCAGCAATCTGGGTATGTGCTTTGACTGGAATCAAACCATCAGCCTTTTGGTATACAGGACAAAGCTCCAACTGAACCACCCAGCCAGGGCAAGAGTAATAACATTTTAAAGAAAATGCTTTTAAGAGAGTCTCAATCACTCAAATGTATAAATTAACCAATGTGAAAATAATTGAGAAATGAAAAAAAAATCTTGTAAGCATAAATGTGGAAAATACTGTCTCTGTAGAAAATCTGTGAGTTGGTTCATCAGAAAATATTACTTTTGTGGCATATGGATTTCAAAAAATAGAACTGTCAAAGTGTGATGAATTTGGAAATGCACTGGTCTTTCTTTACACTTTAGGACATCAACTTAGGAGTTTTGCTGATTTCAGTGATTTATACAGGCATATTCTTCAATATAACAATAATAATAATGATGATGATAATAATTCAATTAATATCAATTTGAGTATTTAATATTATATTCATATACTGGAGCAGGACCTATCCCAACAAGCACTTACCCTCTATTATACCTTTACAGAAATGTTCTTACTCACTATTCCTCTCCCTCTTTAGTTCAGTCTTATCCTCTTTAGTTCCTCTCTAACCAGAGCTCCTCTGTCAAGCTTTCCTTTGTTTGATTGGAGTGAAGTCTGGATACAACATCTATCACCAGAGTAGATTTTACTGATTTGTTCTGCTTTTCCTTAGCTGCCCCTGCCTTTCCATACAGAAGTAATCACTCTTTAAAACTCTGGTATCT